GGCCACTTGAATGAGTCAGTGTTCGTAGCTGGGTATTATTTACTTAGTGCGTTTCTTAATGTTTGACTCCTGACTTCGGTACTCAGTTGTACGAGCGACTAGCGAAACAACACTGAGGCGATTTAGGATTCAACTCGTCTTTAATCTCTATTGTAGATATGGTGATAATGACTACGAATATTTTTGATGGTGTACTTGGTTTTTCATACGAATAATTGTGTAATCTTATACTTTAGGTGATTACAAGGCGTTGTGCAATAGGTTTACATGCACCTTTTCCTGGAAGCCGTATCTCAGGCTCTCGGCACTTCATCACATCGTCGCCACGAGCTAATGAATGGCCCAGCTTTGCTTGTAGTAAAAATGTATTTTGATGAAATAGGAAACTGACGTTGACGCTGTATCTAATGAAAAAAATAAACCCGCTCCCCATTTACTAATTACTACACGCAACCCATTTTCGATCATGATAGGGCTGTCTGTCCGAAAGGACTCCCCGAGATGACAACACTACATTTGCTCGACTAATAAGTCATGCAGTCAGAAGCAGCTTCCTAACGCCCATATGAAAAAAAAAACTATGGGCTAAGGCCCACCAGAATCATAGAGTAGGGTATTAATGTCCTCGCTTTAATTATCGTACTGCGAGGTTATAACATCGCCCCTTAAGATATTGTTTTGCTCTAAAGAAGCAATTTCTATGCGAGTAACGTAAGAAATTTTTATAGCTGCTTACGCATCCTGTGCAAATGAACTATAACGTGTTACCACAACTACGACCACCAAGGCCTTGCTATACTTTTCGGTGCCTAATTGTTGCGCAAAGTTTCTTCCTAAGCCTCATTCATCTAAGCCGGAGGCTCGCTATAACCTTAAAATATATTATTACACTTGTGGAAGCTATAAAAACGTTCATTTGTGCGTTCTTGTGTGCAGGTGAGCACTGCTACGCGATGAGGTGATCAGACAGCCAATTTGAGCATGGGTCTCTTGGAAGCCGCACTCAACGCCTCTGTACTGCTCGCTGCCACCGAGGCTGGAGGCAGCGGTGGTTGGAGCGGCGTGCTCGACGACGGCTCCGGAGGCGCAAGTACCACATCCGGAACTGGAAATGCCACAAATGACAGCGTGGCCTCAGGCAGTAGCGGCCACTCGGCGCCATACTCGCTTCCCGAGGTGATACTGATAGCCTTCCTGGCCGCTCTGTTGAGCGCGGTGACCATCATAGGAAACCTCATGGTCATGATCTCGTTCAAACTGGACAAGCAACTACAGACCATCAGCAACTACTTTCTGCTTAGCCTGGCCATTGCCGACTTCTCCATCGGGGTTATATCTATGCCCCTGTTCACCATGTACACGCTGTACGACCATTGGCCACTGGGTCCATTCATATGTGACACCTGGCTCGCATTCGATTACTTGACCAGCAACGCGTCGGTGCTCAATCTGCTAATAATCAGCTTCGACCGGTACTTCTCGGTGACCCGGCCGCTAACCTACCGGGCCCGGAGGACAACTAAGAGGGCGGCCATAATGATTGCGAGTGCCTGGGTCATATCCCTGGTGCTGTGGCCCCCATGGATCTACTCGTGGCCCTACATCGAAGGTCAGCGCAGCGTCCCCCTGGACCGCTGCTACATTCAATTCCTGGAGACCAACATATACGTGACATTCGGGACGGCCCTAGCAGCGTTCTATGTGCCGGTGACGGTCATGTGCATTCTGTATTGGCGCATCTGGCGCGAGACAGAGAAGCGCCAGAGGGACCTGACACAACTACAGGCGGGCCGCAAGGAGACCGGCGGCAGCCGGAAGTCGACGTCCAGCGATGACCCCGCCGAGTCGGAGGACTTCCGCCGCGGCCGCAGTGACTCCTGCCCGCCGGACGTGGAAACTACGTACGTGCCAACCTCGCTGTGCGTCGAGACTTCCAAGTACCTGCCCCCGGCGGCGCCAAAGAGGCGGCGACTTCGCGACGTGCTCCTCTCCTGGTGTCGCATCGACAACGACAAAGAGGACGACGACAGTACCAGCCATGGAGGTTCGCCTGGAACCCAGACGCCGGCGTCGATAGAGACTCCCGTGCAGTCGGCCTCGATGACCTTCCGGGCGGACCAGTTGGTCCAGCTGAACCCGGCCGGACGCACCGGAACGGGAACCAGCAGCGCCATCGCCAGCATAGGAGGTGGTGGTGGTGGCGGCACCGGTGGCGTCAGCATCCCCATGACCGACCGCAACGGCCTCCGACGCAACGAAAAGACTGGTGCGACGGCAGCGGCCACGTCGGCATCCCGCTCCTACTCATCGGATTCGGTCTACACCATACTGATTAGACTGCCGACGCAGCCGTCGTTAGAAGGCGAGACGTCACAGGTAAGTGTCACAGTCAGAGGGGGGGATGGGGGAGGAAGGAAAGAAATGAAAAGCAAGGAGGTAAACCAGACGCAAGTCAGTTTTGCTACCCTGCACGGGGGGAAGGGGTGAGGGGATTAAAAGACAAGAAAGAGAGAAGTGAAGGGCAACGTGTGGGTACATGCGACCTTGCACTTTGTACGCTTATAAGCGGTCGCGTAGTGCGGGCGTCTTTAGAAAACTTAGCAATGCCCGCGTCGCTTTGCTGGCCCACGACGCGTAGAGCCATGAACCGAGGATCTTCTCTTCGGAAAAAGGTCTACTATCTAGTGTCTCTAACGTTTCGCGAAGCAAGTTACGGTTGCTCGTAAAACGATCACACGTGCACAGTAGATGTTCTATTGTCTCGTCAGTGTCGCACGATTCACATTGGGAGCTATCCCCCTTCCTACGCGAAAGGAGTTCGCCTTCGTGAAAGCTACTCCTAACCACAGGCGGCACAGTAAAGTATCATCCTGACGGGACAGGTCCGATAGAGCTTCAAGCTTCTTCGATGAGTCTTATTTATGTAGGTGCTTCTTGCCGACACTAGGGTCACTCAGCCAAGTCTCCGACATAGTGTTAGCGAACGAGTGAAGGCCCCTTACAGCGTCGGTTCTCGACAGTGGAATCGGGGTTGTCTGGGCGTCCGCGTGGGTGGATTGGGCAGCATCATCAGCAAGGTCGTTACCGACAATGCCAGAATATCCTGGTAATCACTGGAACAACACGTCATGTCCTTTAGATAAAACTTCGTGAAGCACTTTTATTATTTCATTCACTAGTTGTTGATGCACCCTTTGTCGTAAAGCTGATTGCAAGCTCTTAAGGTATGCCTTCGACTCGCAGAACACAGCCCATTTTTGAGGCCGGGCTTCCGCGATTTAAAGTTTAGCAGCACGTAAGGAATAAAGCTCTGCTGCTGTGGATGTTGTCCTGTGGGACCGTTTGAACTTTGTAGTGACCTGGTACGTCGGGATGACAACAGCACTTGTGGAGCTGTCTGCCGAGACCAATTCATTGGTGTAAATGTAAGTCCATTGGCCGTATTTTTCGTTGCGTAGTGACAATGTTGCCTGTCACAGGATCACTGTTGAGTGACGGCTCTTGTTCGTAATTCTCGGAATAGTGAAGCACACCTGTGGTTGTTGTAGGCACCACGGAGGTGATGGTAGTCTTTTTGCTGGAGTGAAGCCCAATGGAAGGCAATTTCTAAGAGCAGAAATACGTTTTGAAAACATCGCTTGTGGTTCCTGAAGTGCTAACACAGCAACATGGTGACCGGGAACTCAGCAGAGGTGTCTTATGTGGGCTCCTATATTGTCAGTGGTGATGTACGTTTGAATCAGATGCTCTCCTGCGATCATAATTGTCCCGTCAGAGGATGGTAAATATACCTAAAGGGTGCTGCTTGTTGGGTTTGTTGGAATTGAACACTGTATTTTTAAACGTACTGGAAAAACAAGGGTGTTTTCCCCTCCCCTTTGAAACAAACAAACAAAAAAAACAAAAAAAAACAGCAGCGATGGTTCGTTAACATATAGGTTACATGGTTCAAATTGCCACGTGTAAATGCAGACACGATGTTGCAGTAAGGTTCAATTGCTGGAGCACTTCCGTTTGGGGCTTTCTGCTTGCCTCACTGTGTCATTGTTCAAGCATCTCCAAACTAGAGAGTGCAAGCAGCATTTCGTGGGAACGGTTTCCTGCTTCACTTTGGATTGACGCCTTAGCTACCGGCATTTGAGGTTAACCTGACGTGACGGTTGTAACATAGTAGTACATATGTAATGTTTTGTTTAATTGGATAACCAGCACTGCGAATGACGTCTCAGGAACTTGTCGGTTTATTTGAAAAGTCGGTCCCAGATATGGCGTGGCTTCGTGGTATGAATCTTGATACCCACGCAGAATGCTTGGGTTCTTTTCCTGCTCAGACACTGACATTTTCTTTTTTGCAATAATCTGGTCAATGCTGCTGGTGTCAGGTTTTTCTTAACGCCCTCGAGTCAAAATTGCCGATCTGTACTCTCCTTGTCCCTAGGTAGATGCTAAGTGTCAATCACCTGTGGCACATACCCGCACACCAGCGGCACATACCCGCCCACGGGTATACGCTACTGTCTGGCGGCAAGGGTTTGACCACGTACGTGACGGCATCGCGACATTATTCATGCCTTCACCAGTGTGTGATATTCCCTAAATCATCTTGCCCTCCCATACTAATTTTTGTTCACGCGAAGATACAGGTGTGATCACGAGAGCACCCAGGCGTAAGGGGCTAGCTAGATAGATACATAGATAGACACCGAAAGTGCTTGCAGAACACAAAGAAATGCTTCGCATTTTTATTAAATGTACGCGACATGAGCAGAATGCTCATTGTTCATTGAGCATACTTATACTTTGTATTTCCTCTGAGATATATTGGCAGAAAAAATGGTTGAACGCAGAGCGCAACAAAACGTACAACGCGGTGGAGAGCAGAAAATACTGGCGCTTAGTGCTTTACTACCACAAGCGCAGTGTACAAAGTACCCTGAACCACAAGCCCGTCCACTTACAATTATTCGTCTCGAAGAGGGCCTTTCGAAAATGTCTGCTAATCTCGACGGGAATTCACTAAATATCGCTTCTATGAGCGTGGCCGCTTAGGTTTCATGGGTGCTTCTCGGTGTCGCCGTCCTTGATAGAAGCTTCGAAAAACCAGTACCCAATTGCCATTAGCTAAGGAAACAGCATCACGTGTACTTAGTGGGAAGATAGCAGTGAACTGCGTTATTTTTGAACTTTGAAATTTATTTCCAACACAAAAATGGGGGGGGGGGGGGGGTTCCCCCGTCAAGAAGCTGTCAAATACAGCTTGAAGGGACACGAGGGATACAACAGGCCGCAGAGAATAAATAATCACATTAATGAGGGCGATATTGCCTAAACGTTATTCATCGCAAAGTCCACGAAGAACATTCGAATGAATGATGGGTGGCCTTAAGAGGCTCTGAAGTGTAGGCATCGCTCCACTAGTTGGTTGAAAACTGAATGTCAAATATAGTCGACCTTACGTATTCCATTGTTATAGAAGTTTTCATTGTTATAATCTATAATTGTTGTAAGTGTGTGTAACAAAAAATTTAAATAAGAGATGGAAGTCTGTTTACAACTCTGCAATAATGGACAGAATATGCCAACACTCAAAAATACCAAAAGGTGACACAACTACCGATCTTTCGCGAATGATTGAAAATTCGGCCCCCGTCACTGCACTTTTACAAGCACCATATAGTGAATGTATAAGTATATCTGAAGTTTACGATGCTGAGACTGTTATAAATCTTATGTTTTAGACACATGCATTCTGGACGTGCTTAAAATGCATGTCCGAAACGCATGTGTGAAACTACGATTGCAGAAGCCACCAGTGCGGCCATATTCCATCGTCTCGCAGACTGTTAGGTATTTCAAAACATGGTTTCTTCTTAATACTGTACTGCTTTGTGGCAAAGTGTAGTGAGAACCTTCTAGGGGCGCACATAGCTGTGGATACCGAGAAGGCTACACCGCAGGCCATATAGTTGTTGGGTTTTTGTGCGAACGTTCAGCAGCTAGAATTTCTCACACTCTTCCTTATCTGATCTCGCGTTCTATTAATGTTTGCGCTAACACCCTGCAGCCAGATTTCATTGCAGTAATTCACCATGCGGCATGCGGGCATTGTTGTAAGCGTGTTATTTTACCATCAAAATAACAAAAGTGGATGCTACAGCACCCTCTTATTGTTTAATCAATGTATTGCTAAAACCGATATTGTTATAACTGCTGTCTACTGCGTTATAGATTTTCTATTACGCAACTCTTTCCCAGTAGTGTTATATCTTCTCTATACCGGGCTTTTTCGGCTGTGGTGGCTGCAATTCCGATGCAGGTAGAAATGCCATAGGCCCGTGTGCTCAAATTTGGGTGCACGTTAAAGAACCCAGGTGGTCTAAATTGCCGGAGCCCTCCACTACGGCGTCTCTCATAATCACATCGTGGTTTTGGGACGTTAAACCCCACATACTAATCAAATTAATCCGTACCGTGCTTCAGAAAATAGAACTTTGCATCACCAACTCAAAGGCTGCAGTTCCACCTTAACATCTCTCAGCTTTACTGCGTGAAATATGAACCCTATTATCATAACCTTCAACGAAGTTGATTGTTATAGCAACATCATGTTACCATGGCAGCACACTTTTATTACAAAGTTGGACATCTCAATTACAAAACGAATGTACTTCGGTAAGGATGTAGCGCACCCGCCTTACACTACACCAGGGAAGATTGAGCAGACATACTTGGCGTGTGGAGGTGTGTGGCTGCCTCATTCTACAAAAATCTGTACCAACAAGCCCAAGGAGCAAATGGGACAATTATGCTATCTTCAGTAATGCCTGTTGACTAACGCGGACCCAGCACTTCTTCCAAAAATCACCAACAGTCCATGTTTAGTGGTTGACAACTCAGCCCCGACACCATAATCCCGACTACAGAGTACACAGTGCACGCCAAAAGGTGTATGTGTCCGGCTGCTTCCCAAAGCAAACGAACATATTAATATTTGATCGCAATTCGTGGCAGGACGGGACACAAATATGAAACCAATTCAGGCTGTCAAGCTTTCTGTACTGCTTACACAGAATATATTGATTGTAATATATTCATAGTTCCTCATGAACCTGCCTTATGTAGTGCGTTTCAGCCACTAGATTTGGTCGCATAGTACCAGCACTGACTCTCGCTAGCAAATGCCAACTAAAGTAGGCTAATGTTTGGCTAGTGCATAATAATGAAAGATGTTCACGAATACCGCCATGATCTTCCCTAGATTGCGATGACACAATTCAGGTGTCTGCGAACTTGCTTGATGTGCTTTGTCTTTCTGTGTCATTCGCAGGCTTCCATCAAGATGATCCTGGAAGAGGACGCCGAAAAGCACGAGGCCGCTGGCGGCGCGGCGTCTTCTGGTGCGGCCGCGACGTTCGCCCGGACGTCGTCTGAGGACTCGACGGTCGCCATGAGGACAGGGGACTCCGGCCTGGAGACCATCCGAATACCGCTCAACACCAAACTAGTGCACCGCCAGGTGGTCGCTAAGCAGCGGGCGGCGCCCAAGAAAAAGCGGAAGCAGCAGGAACGCAAGCAAGAGAAAAAAGCCGCGAAGACGCTGAGCGCCATCCTGCTAGCCTTCATCGTCACCTGGACGCCATACAACGTCCTGGTGCTCATCAAAACCGTCTCTTCATGCGACGACTGCATACCGACGGGCCTGTGGAACTTCGTCTACTACCTGTGCTACATCAACAGCACGGTGAACCCACTGTGCTACGCGCTGTGCAACGCGAACTTCCGCCGGACATATATGCGCATCCTGTCGTGCAAGTGGCACAACAAGCAGCGGTCCATGAACCGCGGCTACTTCACCTGAAGTGGCCTCCGGGTCTGTAGTGGCGCTCTTGTCTCCTCTGTGAAGGCCACGACTTCGTCGCCTCGAAGAGAACGTGGCATTCTTGTGTGCTCTCTTGTGTGTCGTAAACCATGAGCAGTACCTAAGCTGCTGGGGTATCCAGGATTGTATGAAGGTTCCATACTCGCGATTGGGTTAAGCCTTTTTGTGAGTGGCCAGCTGAAGTTCAAGGCTACATCCCTTACTGTCGCAGGGAGGGGGCCTACTCTTACGCTTGGTGGTTACCGTAGCATATATAGAGTGTAGAGGAGGCTCGAGGGAGCCAAACACAACCGGGGCCGAGAAAACGAGAAGGCCGGCGTGACAAACCTTCCGCGTAAGTGGGCTTCCGCGACGTCGTCAAAGAGTGCGATTGCGTGTCCGACATAACACTATGCACTTCCTAGCACCATTCTGCACGTCGCTCTATTGGCTTCCATGGAAGAAAGAGCGGCCGCTGCTACGGTGGGTGGATGAGCACTCTTTGGCGTGTTTGACCACGGTAGACACTACTCTACACGTCGATGACTGCGTGCAACACGTTCAAGTGCTCCCAGTAGAACGGGGTGATCAGATTGATTAGGTTTTCACATGATAGGCGTGATATAGCGTAAAAACTTTATGTCCAGCTATGCAGCTTCAAGGGCGACTTGAGTGCATCCTTCTCGCAGTGCCAAAGTTGTCCTTTCAAGTGTATACACGCAGAAGTTAGCGTGATGTGAAAGGGAAAAAATAATCAGAATAGCAAGATGACAAAAAACACTTGCTTTTTTGCGTAGCAAGTTAGTAGGTTTTAAGTTTAAAAAGTTTTTACTTTAAAACTGGTACTTTTTGAAAGCGGTGTAGAGGAACTTGCTTTAGTGTCAAATGTAGGTGAGGCTGCGGTGGGCTGGTTCACAGCCTCGATGTGAAGTGAGTGCAGTGATCGCTGTAACAGCAATGGAGCTGAATCAGGTGGGGTTAGCCTGACACACAAAGCCGATACTTGTTCCGCCCGAGTCAACTATAAATTGATTGCATCATTGTGGCACCAGTTGTTGATCTTTACAGTGTCTCGCAGCCGTATATAAGGAAGATTGTCTAAATTTAGGCACTAAGCTTTGGGTGGCGTGCAGTCTAGGATAATTTCATTCATGAATGAACGCAATAGAGGAAAAAAGCGTAGTCTCTGAACGCCGGTGGTTTTTTAGGAACGTGTAACACCCAATGAATCAAATCCACAACATCGTTCAAGCCGGAAATGACCACACTAGTTGTCAAAGCGTGTGTAGAGAAGCAGAAGGTGCCGATGAGAATCTTGTGAACCACCTGTTCATCCGGGAGCACTTGAGGTGATTACCGAGTCACGCTTCCGAGATCATTGACTGTTTGGTCACGTCACATTAAGACCTTCCTTTTTTTAATGTCGGCGTCCCTTCGTGTTTTTCTAGCAATCAAAGCTGTCCTTTTTGCCGCGAATATTTCGCAAGAACGTGAAACAGAGGGAAAGAGAGAAGAAACGTTTCTTTGAAGAGAGAATTGGCCGATCCAACAAGTTGCATCGGCAACGTGTTTTTCGACTCCCTAAACACTCGTTCGTGCGTGCCGATTTCATTACGTCTGTATATAGTCAATAGAGCACATTGGCTCGTCACCATTGTGCAAAGTATCGCGAGATTGTAATAACAGGCCTCACGACGTGCGCCATTCGAGAGGGTGTTCTTAAGCTTAGGTGTGCGAGCCGCACCCTTGAGTCTCTCTGTTAATCCTTTGCTTACTGCGCAGGTATCGAGCCATCCTCGAGCATGTTTGCACCTTTTTGAATTTTTCGCTCTCGGCAAATGCTGGAGCTTACCCGAAGACGGGCACTGTTGTGAAAACCTTGATCAGAGTTGCGTATTGCGTCCGACGTGGCGGCCCCTGGGATGGTAGCGGAGTGCAACGAGTGCGTTCATTGGATCAGTCACAATGTCTCACTAAGCGTTCTTCGCCCGTCGCGGTTGTTGAGCTTAGCTTCATGCTGCGTCGGAGAGTTCATGCTCAGATTGGTCCGGAGAACAACGAACCGCTTAAGTGGCGATCCCCCCGAAATTGCGTGCTTTTTAGTCATTCAAAAACACATAAATACTCTCAATGCTCCAATTTGAATGTCCGTTCAGACGCCATTTGTACAAACGTAGATAATTCCCAATATTCTAATGGCACACCTCCCTGATGTGCCATTAGAATAAGGTGAAGCGTTATAGCTTCTTTTACAAAACCTTGTTTTATAATTTGTTTTTAGACCGTGATCAGTCGCAGTCAACCATAAATATTTCTACCATACTGCTTCCTCTGGCAGTTACTGGTAATAATTTTGCTTATTTGTACGTAAGCGTGACAGCTTACAGCAGAAGAGCCAGCTTATTTATTTTAGTACGGTATGTTTTGTGCAACCATAGAGCTCCCTAAAGAAACTGATGGGGGCTCTGGTGCTGCGATTTTTCAGCGACCATGAGATTGATGGGTAGTACACGGATTCGCCTAGTCTTCGTATTCGCGGGTGGCGAATCGCAAGTGTGGCTTCGTTTGTTTGGTTTGAAAAAAGAAAAACTAAGCCTTTTGAATTTCGTGACCAGATTTGAAATCGTAAGCCTAAACGGATATGGTGGTGAAGCGCAACCACGGAACATTTGCGAAATTTTGTTTCGTGCCAAAGCAGCTCCAAGCCATGCGAACTCGAACGGAGTCAGAAGTACGAAGATTAGATAAATCCTTATACTGCCCATCATTCCCATGCTCGCTGAAGCGCCATACGTTGCTGCTATCGTAAGCAATAGCACCAGGGTTCCCTCTAGTGGATATTTAGAAAACTCCATGCGTGCAGCGCTGTGCCAAACAGTTTCATTTACTTGTTTGACAATATGTTGCCTTGAGGTTCTCCATCTCGGTGCATTGTTGCGCAACAGAGTAGAACTGTTCCTCTTTGATGACAAGCGTGGACTCATTGTACCAAAGAAGCTGTTTTGAATACGCTGCTCGTTCCACACCGCATCCGTCGGGAAATTCTGTCGTCGAACCTTGCACACGTTGTACATATGCGAAATATACTCATCGTGTAATTTCTTATATTGTCGTTGAACGAAACACCCACCCTCCACGATATCTTTCTGTTTTGTCTCCCTCAAACTTGGCCGCAGCCGTTAGTCACCTAATCTTGGCTCAAACTTTTTTCTCCACTCCACAGTGCGATACTCGTCCAGAGCTTGTATACGCCTTGCCCAGAAACCCGTAGGAAAAAGTACGTGTGTGTCGTTGTGCTTACCAAATCTGTCGCCTCCCCCTAAACGCGTGACGTTCTCTCATTCTTAAATTATTTCAGAGTTACACACTTATGGTTAACCACATGTACTCACGTTCGAGCACGCAGTCGTTCTCACTGACTGCCATGTCACCGCTCGTCATATTCGCCGTGCGGTTGAGACCATCTGATGAGCCCGGCTACCCGCTTGGCACAGACGTGTGGCACAGACGTGTGGCTTATGACATGATACGCAGCTTAAAACCAGAAGCAGTTGGAAAAAAAATGTGATGATTTTTACTGTTGCTTGATAGTCTTGGCTATATTATTTTTTACGGTGTTAAAAAGATGAAAAATCACTTTGGTCTTGAGCTTACCCTAAAACACTGGATCTAGAGCACGAGAACTCAAGGTAAAGAAAAATGGCGTGGCGAAGATGCCTCGACTGCTCTTTTTTCGACCCTGCGTTTACTTTTTCTCTAAGCGCCTTTTCATGTCAACGCATGCTTCCAGTTTGCTCTACACATATGTTCATATGCTCCTTCTTGACACATGAAGATGAAAATACAGCAGTAAGGCCTGCTTTCTAAATGATAGCCAAGGTAAGTTTCTTGACAAAATTATTTCTATTGAGCTATCATATTAAGCCGCCAGATCTTGACAGGTAGACTATAGCAATGCAAAAACGCGTCTGTGTTAGGAATGCAGCAAGTTAGAAAAAATTTGCCTTGGATGGAAGATTAATGGATCATTCAAAAAGCTTCATAAAGTAGCACCCGCAAAGAAACGGAATATTGCACTGAAGAACCAGCATACATCAAATTCACATCGTTGAGTTTTAAGAAACAGTTTCTAAGTCATAATATCTTAGCGTTCATAGCTTTCGCGAAATATGAGAAGAACGAACGCGCTTCTTACGATCTGCGAGGAAAGCTAGGTGTCTAATAACTGAGCACAAAAGCGCGGATCATGCTGCTGGGGCACCCAGGAGGCTCAAGAGCGCACGGCGAACGATGGCTCGCGGACTTGCACGCAACTTATTTGCACTGACAAAGCTAGATACGAAAGCTACAACGTCACGCACACAACGGAAAATTACATACTCACACTCTACTCTCTTTCTTTGTTTCCTGAAACAATGACGCAGACCACTGTCGCCGACAGGTGTCAGCGAGCGCGCTACACACAAGCCACCTCGGTGAAGAAGGCCACCGCAATTCTCTGACGAGCGGAATTTACGTCGCAATATTGCTCTTCTATTATATTTCTCAGTGTACACGATGAATTATATTTAGCGTGCTAATTCAAGAAACGAAAGGCAGAGAAATTCCTCAATGGCAGTAAAACCTGGCCACAAGACAAATCTGGAAATTGAAACAAGTAATCAAATATTTTGCTCCTAATATAACTTGTATGCCAAAAAAAAGAGCTCTCCTGAAAACATAAACAGGGGGGAAGGGAAAGGCAGGGGTTTTAACAAGTCTAGAGCGACTGGTATGCTACACTCTCCTCTCCATTCCTGTCTTCATCTTTCAAAATCCCCCAAAAGTGGCTATGGAGGCCTATTGGCATACCCGCAATACTGTTGTGACTCCTGGATACCTAAATATTTTGGACATCACAAAGGTTATTCTTGTAACCCAGGAGATATCTGAAATTGAAATATCCTTTAGTATATCCGCATTTCTAAGGAGACATCCCGAAAAAAGCTATTGGAGAGTATCGAAAAAGCAACAGTGAGTAGTGCGTGAAGTAGTGCATAAATCATTCATGGTTTCTAGTGCTGTCATTAAAAAACTCCTCCATTGGTCTCCTTCGACAACAAGTCATACAGGGAATGCTGCCGACGGAATGCACAGAACGAATGTCGGGCTATTCATAATTTCATTATCAGAATGGCAGTGAGTTTCGTTTGATGTAGCCCGAAAAAGTGGTGCTTGAAACCCTAAAAAAACGCTACTGACGGGACCCCTGCAGAGACAAAGTTGCGCAAAAGATCGAGTCCACTTGCCAGTTCAGTTGCCAGTCTCATCGCAATTGACGCAAAAATGAAGGACTACAAGTCAAGTCTCCGATGAGGAACCTTTCGTTTTAAGCGATAACCAATGTCTTGGGCTGTCTTCAAAATTGTAGTGCAGCACTGTGGCCTTTACTAACCAGTAGGTGGCTTTTTTATAGAGCACAAAACACTAGTGCAGTTGTATACAGGCGTGGCGTGGTGGCAGGCCGGTGCGGGAAGCACACAACTAGAACAACAGAGCATCGAGAATGTGCAAATTACGTGTAAATTTTTGCCTCTCCCTTTCCTGTTCCATCCTCTCCCGCTGTCGCTACGTCTTCAGATTCCATCACCACACAGGCCTCGCCTTTAGAGTTTCTTCATTTCTTTAGGATTCATTAGCAGCATCGTGTTCCTAATTCTTGGTACTGTTGGCCACCCTGAGCACATCATCAAATGAGGCGTTCCTTCTGACAAGGACAGTTAACTTCACCTACGGCAGATAACGTCTGCGGAAACTGCTTTGTGACTTGCAATTTGGCGTTTGAGATCTTTAAAAGTGTTTGTGAAGCTCCTGCGAAATACGGCTTACGCTAGGCAACTGAAATTATCAGATCTCTTATACTCGTTCGGATTATTGGGATTCACAATTAGGAAAACCACACGGTTTCGGGTGAAGTCAAATAACGTTAGCAATCAACCGTGTGTGGGTTCGCATCCCAGAAGTTTCTTCGATTTTTATGCAAGGACACCAAATGTGTGTTCAAGATCCGCATACGCTTTTAACGTCGAGTGATGCACAATGGGTTTAGGTCTATACTTTTGCTGTCTCCGATTGTTCCAAGTCTATGTTCTCTACGAATTCCTAAATTATTGTAGTAGCTACCTACGGCTGCACCTTCAGGAGGCTTGTCAAAATTGGCGCACTGCTTCCCCTGCTTCTCGCATCAATAATTTTCCGTGTGTTCCGTTTGATGTCAGCTGTTTACTAAACTCCAGCTCCTCCATTTGCGTTTATATAGGCTGTAACAGTGAGCGATGTGCTTTAGGGTAAGTGATGTCCTTATTTATATACTGAGGGGAAAAAAGACGGTATTCGCAACACGTATAACACAGCGTTGCGCACGACTCTTTAGCGAGATGTGTAGTCGTAACAATAGGTGTACGAGTGCCAGTGTTTTACCTTCAAAACAAAAAATCACCTCTCCGCGCCAACTGTGCTCGTGGTGATTGAAACACTCAAGCAGATCACAAGTGCATGTTTTTTTAAACTGTCTCTCTGTACCTGACTGTGTCGCAAATATACTAAATATATAAATATAATATATATATAAATATATATCGTCGTCGAGATTCCACTTCGATGAGGCATGCACATCACACATACAAAATTGTGCAAGCTACCTTTGTACAATATGCGTGGTGAAAAAAAAAAGTTTGCAGATTGAAATACCTGTTCGTTCGTTTTGTTGGCAACTACGTGTGTGTTAATATTGTGTGCACCTGCACGAGCTACTTTTTCTGCATCTACCGGTGAGATTTAAGGGAAAGAAGTTGACAGGGTGCAGTCATACAAGGAATGGCATTGATCCCACTGTACGCTACCAACTTTTTGCGCCTAACGAAATCTAAAGGAGCTCGTATAACTAGCCCAGAAAGACATTAGAAGGACATTTTTCGTTCGAACAAGATTTCGGCAACGAGTCTGCTGAATTCCCTGAGATATAACGCGAAATTGAAGTGCTACATGTCGCAGAAAGTGTTAGCGTTGTCCTGTAAGCTTTCTCCTTGTTAGCCTAATTGGTGAAGCGAACAACACAAAGAAATGATAAACTGATATTGTTTGCACTTCTAAATCGGTCACTT